CGTAGTCTTCAATACTACTTTTTATCATATTCATCCCTTTTCTTGTAAGAACATAGTACAACTCTAAAGAACAGGATCTTCACCATTCTACAATTACGCCGATGAAGAAGAGAAAAAACGAGATAGAGACATTATCTTATCCTTATCGACTAGATGACTAACTTCATATCAAGCTGGCCTTAGGGTCGAAAAAATAAGATGGAAATGTTCTGGAGCACAAATAACCATAAGATGGTTTCAACATGAGAGCATTACAATATGTTCAGATAAATCAGTAGTAGATTCTAGATCACAGAAAACAGTATGTTGTACACTTTCATGATGCTGCAAGTTCACTTGTCAATGATAAATTGATTCAACTGACGAAACTATCTCGAATTGATCACTTGGACTATCAATTGTCCACCCCTCCAAATGCAACACAACTGTCACGGGACAAAGAGATTCTATGTGTTCGGGATTTCCAATGAAATAAGCTTCTGAAAAGTTTTTACGTCGACGTTTTCGGAAAAGAAATGACGACTAGTAGTTTCATCATACTATCATGAGATAACAAATAAGTTCGTTTCAAGAATCAAAAGATGAAGATTTTTCTCAAACAGATACAAGAAAATCGAAAATCGACCAGGAAGTAACTCGATACCCTATTTGTTGTTCAAAATCAGGACCGTGTGTAGTTCTACTGATAGTAAAGTACAGGAATAGTCGTAATGGTGCAAATAGTGCCCTTTTATTTTGTAAAGTCAACAATGCAATTTTCCTTTATGGTAAAAAATAGGCCAAATTCGTACTTTTATGACAAAAACTATTATTAATATTCCATGTAATACTAACCAATACATTATACTTTCTCTTGTTGTTGTTGTCGTTGTTGTTGTCTGTTTACAATTCCAAGTAAATAAAACAATGACACTTTTCCGCTCATGCCAACAACGAAGAAAACAGTAAAAGATAGAAACACAAGTCATTATCTTTGTAGAATTGATGACTCTGCCATACTGTACTAGGCTTGGGCTCATATTTCTTATTGTTGCTGTTCTGGTTGAATTTCGAGTAGTGGCAAATGGTTTGATTTTGCTGCGATAATAGAAAAATGTTTTAGGTTCGTGTCAATGTATGTGCAAACCACTTTGTTCGTCTGCGTATGCTTTCTAGGAATTATCTACCAAAAGTTGGACTTTATCTTCAGAGTCAAACCAAAACTCTAGTCGGAAACGACTGCATCAATATTTGCACTCGTGTAATATTGTAGAAGCTCAACCCATCCTTCATGAATGTCTTTCAGAGCTACTTTGTATACTATCCAAACGCAAGCTGTTTGTAGAAAATGTGAAGTCTCCTTTTCACTTTTGACAGCTACAACTACCACTATTTTCAACAGAATGACCTTCAGTGTGTTGGAAAAAAAACAGATCAGAAGCACTCTTGAAAAGGCAAATACTGCTATACACAAGTCGCCTTGTTTCCCATTCACACCGTACTACTAATGTTACCCTCCTCTTCAACTATATAAGGACCAAAGACGATTTGAAATAGATGCCTTTCAGAAACACCATCAATACCAGTTCCAACTTTATCGCTCTTACTACTCACATATCGTTTTAGACACATTTCACCCTCAGCAAACCCAGTAATTCATAAAGACAAAGGCGTTTCTCAGAACGGACTAATAGCTACAGTCGCCATCGTCAAAACATTTTACCAGGTGGACACAACCATGACTTTCAGCAGTGCTCTTTTGCTTGCTTTATTTCATGGTTCCCGACAAGGTGAGTATATTTTGAACTGAAAACTTTTCCCTTGCTATAAAAAAGCAAGTCTATTCAGCTTTCGTTTTCAATAACTGTCAAACCTTATGGGTGTCGTTTTTCCGCAAATAATATTTCAAAAGACATATTTGAATCAATAGAGAATTGATCTAAAAGCACAACAATATAAACAATCATTAAAAATACCTTCCTACGTTATCCTGAGAAATGAATTTGTTTTACAAAAAGTGCAAATATCGTTTACACTCAAAAACCTGTTGCAAAGCTACAGACCGATTTCTCCATCGTAAAAAGAGTCATGTAGAAGACAAAAAACTATCATACGGAAAGTAACGCTGTGTACTGAACAAAAGACTCAACTGAGAGTCTAACTGGTTTCTTGTTCTTGCAGAATATCTTGGAAATATCAACCCAAAGACGGTTTCTCAACAACAGACTACAAGATTAGACTTTCAACTGCTAATAAATACGCAAAAATGCTCTGAAACAATTATCGATAAAAATAAACAAACGTGTGAGACAACTAATTGATTAATCTACCAACACTCAACGACAGCTTATACTCCTTTGTCTTTGCTCTCTTCTCGACAACGCTAATCTCAAATTTCCATACAAGACCAGAAGTGAAATAACAACAAGTGTTGCATAAAGGATATAAACTCCAAAGAGATAATAAAAGTTGTAAATACTAAAAAGAAACTACAGTCTACATGGAACTCAGAGCTCAGGACTCGATGGACTGTTCTAAAAGAAACATTTGAAGGGCTTAAAAAGAAACGTAGATAATAGAAATTCACTTGTCCAACTAAAACAAACGACGAATTCGTTTTAGAAATTAAAGTCTGAAAAGTTTCACTAGCAAACTTGAACCAGGTCCACAGACTTGACAATACTCACTGAGCCTTCCTTTCCATCCAATAATCAAACCATTGTGTTCATTTCTGATTGGGATTGTTATGAGAAGGATCGCTTTGTATTCTCTCCTTTCACTGGAGATATATTATTTTAAGTGACTGGTGAGTTTTATGAAAGAAAATATTTCACTTGGAGATATGTAAAAAGTTTCTGGAACAATAAGTGTGCTAGATACATTCAATCTCACATCTCAGTATTGTTGTGAAACGAGAAGAACAGTGTCGTAACAAAGGTCCTCTCAACTCCCTAGCGACAATGTAGCCTTTTAACAGAGTTGAGTTTGATCAATCTTGTCTCTGCAAGGTAAATTTCAAACTACTTGTGACCCTATTTTGATAACAAAGCAAGAACGGTTTTGCTACAACTAGTTTTTGACTCGTTCTCGATCTGAGAACCTTTCTTTGTTGGTCACTCAAAATTTAGGAAAACTCCTTAGAGGTGCAAAATGACCATTTTCTAATTTCAATGACATTAACTCTGTTTGGCTTGCATTGTGAGAACTAGAACCCTTCCTTCTATGCAAATTACGCTCAAGGAACAATCTTTGTTCGATTACGAGTCATAAAGAAGAATAAATCGTATACTCAACCGTAGAATTGGAAAGTATACAGAGGACAGGACGATAATAAAGAACTGACCAAAGGTTTGAATTCTTTTGTCTATGTACAAATACATAAACTACTTACGACAAGGAGGATCGAGCCTCAAACGTTTCAAGGCTATTGGTTCGTTCTCCACGTAAAGAACTTTTTGAGAGTTTTGACTAGTATAACAACGGTAAAAGTGGTGATGCTTTTGCTTCTCCTTGCACATATATTTCAAGATTCACCTTTCTTTTTTACTTTGCCAAGAGGAGATGAAAGATTCTTATTTTTCCATTATTTCTACGTTTATATTCTTTTCTTTTCACTAGGAGACGAAATTGATCTAATACATTTAAAAGAACAAGACCTTTACCAGTTTGGATAATCACAATATCAATTTGACTCTGCACAATTTTATTCTGCTGAATAAGACAAAGTTGAAAGAGACATTTTCCTTCTTTTTAGAGCAATTTGGATAAGACTATATCTTTTCTTCTTTCTTTATGTTTGACTTGTCCCTAATGGAAATGAACGTTTCTTGTATATATAGACAGTTTGTTTATACAAAACTTTGAGTTGTCTTTGATTCTTGTTACAAATATCTAAAAAGAAGCCTCCACCAGTGTATCCATCTGGTTCTATTTCGCGAGAGTCTTCTGCCTAGTGTCTAGCACGAATAACTTTTGTATTATGACTCACTTATTTAACGAGCTGATGGTTGAGAATGGAAGAAAAATAGTAGGAGTCAAGTGGACAAATCGTTCTTTGAATTTGCAGAGCTTTTAAAAGTTTTACTTTTTTATATTGGAAGAGATAATAGCCCTCTTGGAGTTATATCGTTCCTAAAGCAGCTTTGTACTTTCTATAGTTTGCTTTCTTGTATATCTTTAAACGTTGTGGTTTTACAAAGTTTATCGTACAAGAGGATGCAGCAAAAGCTTTAAACCTAAACAGTCATGTTTACCTTCAAAAACACCTCAACTATATATATAGTCGACTATTGAGGAGAAAGAATTCAACTATGATTCAAACGTGAGAAACGAGAAGAGAGTCGCTAGAATAGACTCAATTCGATTGAATTGAATTTTGTTTGAAAAGAAGTTTTCTCCTCTTAACAGAATCCATAGTATCAAATGCCACTATTTTCAGAGGAGAAAGAAACAGGAGTTATTGACTCTTACAGAAATTGAGTATTGATGATACACTTGTGTGAGTCAATGTTGTTTCTGGTTTCTGATAAAACCACGAGATATTTTTGAGCCTTTTTTGCACCTTTTTTTGGTTTGTCTTTTGCTATCATCAACTTTTGTAGCTTTAGTGATAAGCTGCTACTTGTCATGAAAGCGTAAGAAAGGAATTTGATGATTGCTGAGAATAAAGCAGTGCTGTGCTTGCGGGTTTCTGCATTTCTACTAAATAATAACATTTCAACTGGAGTCCTTGACTAGACTGCACAAGAGAATGACTTGGTCCATACTCTAGTTCCGTGTTTCGAAATGAAGCAAAAGTGACGTAAAAACTGTTCCATAAAATACAGAAAATCTAGAGAGACGTCTGTGGAACAAATTCTTCATGAACAATCTATATTGCTCGGAACTCTCATGACTACTCTCGAAAATTCTGAAAGAAACTTTCTTATCTATGTGAGAATGGGCCATGTTTAATAGCTTTATACTCTCAAAGAGCATAAAAAACTTGTGAAATAAAAATTGGCTTCCTTCCAATACTTCTTGTACCCTATGAGAGTTACCATTATATTAGCATACGAGAATAAGAATATCGATAGTTGAAAAAGCCATATTGATAGTTCTTCCATAGTTCAAGTCATCTCAGTCCAAGCCATAAAGGGTATGACATAGTCATCAGTTGATAAAGAGAAGAAGTTGGATTGGTATCCTTTACTGTTTTCCTTGTTGTTGTTGTGACCGACAAACAAACAGTCAATCGTTCATTTATTTATATTTGTACTCCGAAATAAACAGAAGATTGTTTAATTTTTCTTTGGCGATGGCGAGTTTGAATGAAAAGTGGAAAGCTGTGGTCAAGTTTAAGTCTGTTGTGGTAGATCGTGAAAGAGATGTTGTTCGAGTGACAAAAGAACTGTATGATCTTCATAAAGGCCGAAAGCAACTTAGGGGTGCAACAAGTAGTTGCAACTATCGCTTGACGATACCATTCGCTCCGCACATGTTCGGTTCTGGCAAGACTAAGTTTTGTCATAACTATTTGGAGTTGGTGCAAAGGTTTGGTGAAACTTTTCTGTCGAAATTTGCTTCGGACCCTTCGAGGAGAACCTTTTTGGAGAAATTAAAAAGGGCTTCACTGTTGTACGTCGATTTAAGGGAGTTGGAACCCACAGAACCGAAAGAACGCAACCTAGAGTGGGCAGTCTACTATTTGTTAATCAAGGCCGCTTGTTTGCAATCAGGTCTTCCGCAACCAGGCCCGGACGAATGTTTCAAGGAACTGAAACTTAGGAGTGATGCTTTGGTTCAGAAAATCCGTTCAATCTTAAACATTCCTTCCGATCAATATCTTTTGGTGGCATTTGATGAAATTGGTGTCCTTGACGAAAGTCTCGACGAATTTCATTTCAAGAGAACCCATGACGGTAGAGTTCGACCTTACAATGACTTTTTCGGTATCATTAGTCAATTGTGCGAAGAACCCGACTTGTTTTTTATAGTTGTTGGGAAAAGCAAGGGTTTAAGTATTAAGAATTATGTAGCTTTTGGGCTATCAAGAGTTATACTACATTTTATCCCTTTATCACCTTTGGACGCTTCCAGTATCGTTGAATTCCTTGAAAAGAGTCTTCTAAAGACACCTACTCAAGAACCAGTTTGTAATGTCTTATGTAGTTCTTCATTTTCAGTAAATGAATTGGCAGATTCGTTATTGGAATGTACAGGTGGAGTTCCTGGTTTGTTGACTCGTGCAGTAAATATGCTTTTGAATTATATAATAGCAAGAAGTCAGCCTTTCATATCGAAAGAAGAATGTTTGACTTGTATGAATGACTACGATTTCCGAAGAATTTGTGCTGAACCATTTGTGGAACGAATATTGAATTTGGACGAAGATAGAAAAAGTGTTTTTGATATACTTTTGATGATGGCACTTTATCGTATACCGTTTCAAGTATATGACATATTGACCTCGGAGTCCTTTTTATATGATGCCGTAACAGAAATGGGACTATATCGATATCCTATTGACCAGAATACTTTTCAAGTCCTTATTCCAAAAGTATTTGTTGTAATCTTCAAGAAGCTATCGTCTATTTCCCCTATGGAAAAGATACTTCTTGGATCACTTGATGTCGAACCAGTAGATTGTTTCTTCTATTCAAAGTGTCGTGTATTTGAAGGAATTGTTGCTTTACGACTAGTTTTGATGTTGTCTTCAAAGAATCGAAATGAGTTGAGGGAGTTGTTGTGTCAATTGTCTCCAATATGGAAACAAATGAAACTTCCAATCAGTACAATATCACCTATTCACTATATCAAGTCTGTTGTTAGTTCTAGAGAAACAAAAAGTGAATCGAACAAGAGTCGACGAACTTTTACCAATACTGAATGGAATAAGATTATTCGAGAGACACTTTATTTAGAGACTATTTACATTCCTTTGGAAGCTACTTCTCATAGTCCTGATATTATATTCCAATTACAATCTCCTGTGGAACCCAAAGTCTTACTGTTGGAGTTGCAT